GGTGTTTCGAATGTCGTTCTGTAGAACAAGACTACACTTAAGTCTGTAAGTCTCAAATCTTATGTATCTACACTCATCTCACTAAGCTTAAAACCACCTAATTTCATTTGAACTGATCAACGAAAACTATTAGTACAGTCCAACCTGTATGTGCGACCACCGTTTCGCAAGCGATCAGCTCCCATAAACGACCAATTATCCAAAACACCAAAATTTTCCCATTCAAAGCCTTTTAGTTGGAACTTTTCGTAAGAGAACGCAATCAATTTTTAGCATGACAGTTTAAGAGTTTTCCACTGTTCTTAACCTGTTTAAGCAACTGCTAACTGATACAATGGTCTGATCTTTGTGTTCCCTGTATGTACTACGCTACTCAGAATATGAGCAGAAGTTTTAGAGAAAAAAAATAACATGGATTTACAGTTACTATAACCTTAAAATGCAGTGCAATATATTCTTTGAAAAAAATTAGATGTATCCGAACTTCTCAGTCCTGTCAACAGACCTCCTTTCACTCTCATAACTGACCACACCATGGAAGCGACCACTTATTCTTCGCAATTTAGGGGGTCACTTACGGGAGGTTCGATTGTATAGGTTAAATTAGAGTTAGTTAAGACCCCTTACCATTATCAATAAATTATTCTGTTAAATATTTTGTACAACTTGGATAAGTTGTAACTTGGAACCAAGGTTGCTGTCAGTAAGAGGAAATATCCCTAGTCATAACATTTACTGACTCAAACGAGAGAATGATTTCAATCCTAATTCACGATTCTATACCTTACTTTACCTAATGCTAGATAATCTATTTTTATCCTTCTTTAAGGAGAAAGAAGACGTAGTGGAACTTCATTTTTAACCCGTCAGACACGTTTATACACTTAGGGTCGGTCATTTAAAGGAGTCTAATTTAGGCCGCAGTTTAGAAAAGCTTTATCCCTCCAAGCAGATATCTTCCTCAGTGGGTTATTTTCAGAAAATGAGTTCTTTTCCAGTGCGCACCTCATGATCATGCTTTCAAGAAACCTTTCACGATAAAAAGTGTTGAGATAAAAGCGTTGGGCAAGCTGAAAATTGATGAGCACACGGTTTTCTTAAACACTGGCTAAACAACAGTTTCTCTTTCAATTGTCAAAAGGCCCTGTTCAATGGTTTTCTCGTCAGTTGTTGCCTCCTCTTGTTCTCGTTCTGCACGATCTTCAAGAGTAACATCAACTGCCCCACTCTCCCTTAAAGTACTAGCAATCGTTGGCATCTCGAATTTACCAGTTTGCAGTTGCTGCTTTAGTATGTTCGTGCCAGTTAATCCACTTATCTCTCCTTGTAGTTGATTAAGAGGCAATAGCAAGGCCAGGCAGCAGGATAATGACCACTTTGGATTCTTGCGCCATTCTTTTACAAAGTGGTAAATATACGCCAGATATTGCACTGAAACAAAATAAACACTCGTTCAAATTAAGACTTGGCCTTTATAGATTCAATTTATATTAACCTTTCATCACAGAGAAAAGACCTGAAGGCGGTAACTTGCACGAGAATAGTACAATGGTGATAATGAGTTAAAAAAACTATCTGTTTTGACAAAAAGCCTTGAAAGAACTGATTTAACAGTTAAAGGTAAATACCCGAAGTGCTAAAGAAGTAACATAATATTGCAACGCACCCTCGTGGAATAATTGTTAATTATTAAAAACGCCCACAAAATCTCGTTGAATCTCCCCGACTAGAACAAACCGGAAAAGACAAGGGACTTCCGCTATTCAGATGTCACACGTCTATCAAAACTTTCAACGCGCGAACGGACTCGCCTGGACTGCATGAATGAAAAATCAAAACATTGTAGCGATGAACATTAGTTTTTTGAAAACTCATCGGGATTCTACGATTTTACAGAGCAGAACAGCTAAAAAACCTGGCAGATAATGTGAAGGAAAATAATTTTTATGTGACAGCCGTCGAAATTACTGTGAATTTGGATTTTCGGTGCAGTTACAAAAGTAAGAACAACGGAGAAAAACTATTACCACGGTCGCTTGTTATGAAGTTGTTTGAAGCCACAAGCTGGTTTTGCTGAACGAGAAAAGAAGCTATACTGCTGCCTCGATTGCTCTAGTGAATGGCTGCATAACCTGTATTTGTAGCTGGTTACTTGTGATTTATATTCTTGATGTCGGATAAACAAGCCGCAGTTATCTATCGGCGAGTGACTCGATCGGCAAATGGCTTCGCAATCAGCTACGAAAGAAGACAATTGTTGTTTCTTCATGGTCAAGGTACTTTAGTTCCATGTGCTAACATGTGTTTTTCGACAAACTTTCAAACAAGCTCTTGTGGCTTTTTTGTTTATTTTTGTCTTTTTGCTTTAGATGAAATTGCATTTCTAGTATTCTAAGAAATGAATTAAAACGATTTGCTTCGGGCGGCGTTCTATCCTACGCGAAAAAAAATCTTAGCTATTGTAGCTTCCAATTTTAAACTGACGCGTACACAACACAACCTCGTTCCCAGGGTTCTCTCCTACCCGCCCTACGGAGCGAGAGAGGGGGAGAGATTTTACCTTCAAAAAATTAACTCGCTTGTGTGTAACTCAAGATCGTAGATTTCTAGCGATTAGTGTCATCGGTTAAACCGGCGACAACGCTAGTTTTTGATTCCTTCTCTGGTAATTCACTTGTTTATCTGATAGTTTTGTTTAGGCAGAAATTTCCTTTAGTTTCAGTTATAGTTGTAGTAGGGTTAGCAAATCTATCCTGCTGTTGCGATCACTGCGTGAACGTCGCGAGTAAACCAGACAAAAAAATGTGAGAAAAAGGACTCCTCCCTCAGAAATAATTGTTCTGGAGCCACGTGACCAGCGTTTTCCAGGGTCTCTCTCTCTCTCGCTCCGTAGGGCGGGTAGGAGAGAACCCTGGGAACGAGGTTGTGTACGCGTCAGTTTAAAATTGGAAGCTATTTAATTTTTTTTTTTTGACGCGTACACCGACTATATATGGAGAGCATGGTATAAATACCTCTTATTAGCCGAGTTCTCGGTCCGTACTGTAAAATACGGATCCTCGTTGTTTTTCCATCGATTTATGCGCGGGCCATAAATCGATGGAAAAAAAACGAGGATCCGTAATTTACAGTACGGACCGAAATATGGCTTCTTCCTGTTTGGGGGACCAGAAACAAGTGCAGGACGCACGATTTGACAGTCATTTGACAGGTGTCAAAAAAGAAAGTTTTTATTGGCGCACGAAAACAATAGCACATAACAAAGGCTTTCTAAGAAAGTAAAAACAAATTCGCCATGCTAAAAGGCTTTAATCGTTCAAAACTAAGAGCACTGTAAGTTTTAGCTGTTTAATGTAACGCTGGTGTATTTTGGAAACCGGACATTGTGTCTGTCTGGAAGTCGTTTCCATCTTTCCTCCGTTTGTTTTTGTGAAAAAACACTGCAAAAGGCAAAGAAGCTTTTCAAGGTAAGTTTGTTGTCATTCTCGAAGGATTCGCTCGTTAATTGTTTTTGGGAAAACCTCTCTTTCTGCCAGTTTATTCTCGTCTTCAATTGTCATAATAGTGATCTGCGTTAAAATTTTCAAACACTGACTAGAAGTCTCTTCCTCCGTAAGGTTACGATTCAGTTTCTACAACAGTTTCGTACTCATTAAAAACAAAGCTACGTTAAAATTTGGAAAGGCAAAGTCAACATCCCAGTCCTCAGAGTTTACATACATATTTCAAAGTTCATTCGGTGGAAACTAAGAGCACTATTAAGTATTCACTCGTTAATGTGACGCTGGAGTCTTTTGAAAACTGGACATTATGTGTGTCTGGCTCGAACTCGCTTCTATCTTTCTTTCGCTGGTCTTTGAAAAAACACTGCAAATGGCAAAGAAGCTTGTCAAGATGATCGGGTGCAGGTATGTTTGTTAGCATATTTGTTGAAGGAATTACTCATTTTCTCTTAGGCAAAGAATCTCGAATCTCTGCCAGTCGATTTTCGTCTTCTAAACTGTGTACTACGATAAAATTTTCAAACACTGACTAGAATCCTCTTCGATAACATTACGAGTTAGTTTATTCTTCATCGCCTTCGTTCACAAATAAACAGAGTTTAAAATGTTGAAGGCCAAAGTCAACATCCAAGTCCTCAAGGTTGACAGGCGTCTTATAACTTTATTTAAACATTTTTTCCGAGGTAAAGAGATTTAGACCTCCGAAATGAGCATTTTCTTTAAAAATTTTGGACTGTATAGCAAGGTACGGACCGCAAATGGACCAATCGCATGGCGAAGACAGACTCAGCCATATAATAATAGCTCATATACCATAACTCGAACTCCCGCTAACTCGAACCAATCATCGTTTCCCCTCAGGTCATTTTCTATAAAATTTTACCCTCGATAACTCGAACCATGTTTTGAGCCCTTTTAAAAAAAAGTCGAGAAAAAGCCGTCTTCTCGCGTCCGAAACATTAAATTTTGGATTTCCCATTGACGTGTTGTAGGAGTATAGTTTACTAGTGGAGGCTGATGTTGATTGTCAGAGGCTACGGTAAAGCAGCTTAATTTTCTTCTCAAAACAGTAAAACGCATGCTCTATATATTTAGGCTATGTTTTGTTACGTTACGTTCTGATTTATAATCTAGAAGTATCTTTTAATTTTCACTTGACATTTCTACAATTAAATGTGATAAAAATGTTCACTGTGCAGTAAAAACTGTTTTTTACCTTACTCTCGGCTATTTTCTTCGAACTCCCGATGACTCGAACCTTTTTTCGATTTCCCTTGAAGGTTCGAGTTATCGGGAGTCGACTGTACATTCTACTCGAATTAGCCTACTGTACAGCTGTATGTAGCAGGTACTTACAGGGATATGGGCTCAAGAAAAAATGGACGTGCAAGGTAAACGTCCCCTCGCAGGTCCCCTTTTTTGAGCCCATGATTATTCCTTTCAAACACACACACACACACACACACACACACTGTGTGTGTGTGTGTGTGTGTGTGTGTGTGTGTGTGTGTGTGTGTGTGTGTGTGTGTGTGTGTGTGTGTGTGAAAACTAAGAAATGGAAATGATATTTGCTTGATGTACCAGCTATTGCAGCAGTGTGTCTTGATCCACAGCTAACTGTCATAACATCTAAATCACCAGGAAAGTCCACAGGGACAGAGAAGGTCTGACATGGAACTTTTCCACTAGTTGCTGTCTGCCTGTCATCATCAGTGTCATCATGATTGACAGACAAACCCAGCTGTCCTGTCTCGTTCCATCCCCACATGTAAAGATCACCACTTTCTATTAAACAGTAGATCAATAAACAAAACACAATGTGAATGAAACATGTGTTGGGCCTTTAAAGTGTATGTGACAATTTTTTTTATTTGGTGATAGAATCTTAACACGTTGTACTGATAAGGAAATATTGTCTGACCAACCAAAAACGCGAAATTTCACTTCCAGTGGGGTACAAACGATACAATCTCTCTCCATATCACATTTTGGGAATGATTGCGACGTCATTTCAGGACATTCCGTTTCACGGCAAGCAGATTTCCCAAGCAGTGTGTGGAGATTTTTTTGAGTTTTCCCTGACCTCTTTTAGTTAAAAAAGCACAAATCAAAGGAAAGTAGCTAAAGCTTGAATGTAAACATCTCAAGATAAAACAAGAATAATGAGTTCTGAAAGTGATACGAGACATTCAGACACGGAGTCTCACGATCACACGCACACAGTCACTAGTGTATTTTGCCAGTAAGATCTGGATGAAGATGAAGATCAAATTCACTATTCAGATATTTATTTTTTATGTTTTTGATTTGTCTTATTTTATTATTTCTTAGTACCTTTAATAGTAAGGGGTAACAGTAAGAAGCCGACCATAAAAAGTTTGAGGGTGGGGTGGGAAAAGACGAAAGACTGGGTGATTTTAAAGTGAACATTTCGACAAACAGTTTAAGTTTTCTCAGAGGCTAAAAAGCTGCATTTAAACAGCTGCTTTGATACCATTGCTCTAGTCATAAACAAGTCATCCTCATAGAAATACATGTTTAAGGAAACTAAAAAATACAACAAAGAGATATAAAGAAGAAAGGCCTAAGGAACAGGCAATGTTACAATGTAAGTAGAATACAAATTAGAATAATGGGAATTTGGAACCCAACAATAAGAATTTGTTACTCCATTCAAAATAATGTTCTCTGATAGTTGAAACCCAGTCTAAAATAATCCAAACCATGAGTGTGGGACTGCTCTACATGTACAACCATGTAAATGGAGTGGAATGGCTATGAAGCCAGTCAGACCTCTTTGTTATTGCATTTGTGGACCTGATGATGCACAATGTTCAAAAGCATCCCTATCATTTTGGTATTATCGCAGCTTGTGAACAAGCTCTCTAGGGCACTCTGGCGGTGAGGTGGGAAAAGGAAGGAGAGCTTGCAACTACTTACTGGTCTCTGGAATTTGACTATCTGCATCGAAAAAGTTGATGCGAAATGCTGATTGGATGACATTTGTGATGACGTCATTACCCTTGGCAAGTGGTTTTAAATGTTTGTTTACATTCGCGCTCGTTCTCACTTCGCACTGATTGGAGGAAATCTGACAGCTCAGTCGACGGGGAGCCACAGGGGAATTGGAGGTGGAATTCAAATTCCAGAGATATAATTGCAAGCTCTCCTTCCTTTTCCTGCCACACTGCCAGAGCGCCCTGGAGAGCTTGCTCCCAGGCTAATTTTATTGACCAATTAAAATGTCGCATCAGTTCATTCAGTCACAATTTGTGAACAGACAACAAAAGATCAAGGAAACTGCAGCACCGTTGTTTCTATCTTTGTTGTTTGCCACCTTTCATAACCAGTCTCCTCGATCTACTAACTACGGTATGACCAGTAATCCCTGACTGAAATATTAAATAGATATAAATAACTGTGCAATTAAGAGAAGAAAACATTTGAAAAAATTAATGAAATCCACTCTTACTACTTATTGCTGCAGAATGCCAACCACCTGCAGATATAAACTGAATCTTGATTCCCTCCAGGGCTTGAATAACTGCAGCACTTTGCTCTTCAACGATTAAACCACGTCCAAGTTGTCCTCTACTGTGTGTAAATATTTTAAGTACATATAAGAGCAAGTGGATTAAGAACATCAGGCTGAAAATTGGCCAATAAATAAAAGCTGACCATAATAATTGATTATATAAATGTATAATTATACATGAATATTAAATAACAAAGAATTCAGCCTGATAAAATAAAACATGTTGAGGTACAAAATAAGAAAGAAGATGCCAGAACTTAATCAGCCTGATGCCCAAAATCATGGTTGTGATATGCGGGTGTTTACTGTAGTCGTTTGTAACAAAGTATGTAAAAGACAACTTAAAACAAATCCAAATAATTAATTTATTACACCAGTGATAATTTGCAGTAGCTTAACTTGGATAAAAATTAAAAAAACAAAACAAAAAAGAGACGCACTGAATGTCCACACTGGAAAAGATTAAAATCCCCACTCACAAAAACAAGTGACTGCAAATACAACTGCAAACAGTTTTATACCCACACACAAAATTATACCATCACCAGAGTACAGTAGGCCTGTTTTTACAAGAGCATTTAAAATGTACAAAGCATTCTTTTCTTTCCTATGGTATTAAAGAAAGGGGAAATTTTCTGGCAACCACTTTATGCCAACTGGCGACCAAAAAATTTTATTACACAGTACATTGTCAGATGGCCCCTGTATTGAAAAAAAAATTTCAGACCCTAGCTATCTACCTTCCATTGCCAAGACTGTAAACTTCCCCTGATGAAGACAAAAGCAGTTCATGTTCCTTCCCACAAGCAATTGATGTCATCTGTTTCAACAGGTCCATTGGTTTAAAGATCATTGAAGCTGATTTGTTTAAATCTTTGGTGGCATTCTGGTCTTGTTCATGTAATACATAACCAGCTTGGCCATCATCTGTACAACAGATATGTCTAACTTGAGACGGGAAAAACTTTGCAGATTGAAGAAGTACAATGTACAATACACGTACAATCAAAAGGACACACCCACCGCAAAAATAATATTGTCATTCAGGGTTGAACTGATTAAAAAAAGGTGAGTTGTGCATTTTCTAAAGGAGTTCCTTCAGGTGCTACACGATGTTAGTTAATTGATAAAAGCATATGCAATTATTCTGTAATAAGGGATTAAAATCATGCATGGCAAAATCTACAGTAATATATACTGGTAGACACTTGAACAGGTAACTTAAAATGAGCAAAAAACATTGTATTGATGGCAGTCTGATTTCTGTACAATATGTATGTTTCCAGGTATTTCAGAGAATGATCCTTATCCTTGATATTCTAAGCGTGAAGTAAAACTTGCCTGATAGAAGTATGCAGCTCGATTCTAAGCATCCTGCAGCCTTAAATTTTCTGTTACCGGCCTCAAATTTTCTTGGATGTGACTGTTCATTGGTGTAGTCACTCCAAAGAACACATTCGCCCTCACTCGTCAGAAATGCAAGTCGTCTCCAACTACAGCATGCATCTGTGACAAAATAATCTGGGAGGAGATTCTGTACTTCACCACCTTCTTTTGTTCCAGGAATCCACCCCATAGTTTGGACTGTCCCATTTTCTTATAGATAATAGATTATAATTTTTGAAATTAGATGGTATTCTGGCAACCATGTGAAACTAAAGATAATTATTTTGACACATCTCGTAGTATACATTGAGATTAATTCTGTTGAGTCCAGTCAAGTCACAGAGTTATAGATCTCACTTAGATGCAAGCTGTGTTACTTTGAGTTAAAGAGCTTTAAATATGTATATTTGTTGCGCTTAATGTATCATAAAGTGAGGAAAGGTCTCAATCAGTTTGTGCCGTTTTGAGCGTGTAAGATCATTTTCTGGTGACATGATTATAAACCTGTTAGTTCTATGCTGCCAAACAGCTAAAGTGGCCACATTGCAGGTCAAAACTATGATCAGCTTTAAATGTTTCAACCTAGGTTGATTCTTAATTTCCTTTGTCCTCTAGCCCTAATTGTTCATGAAATAGGGATAGGAGAATCAACCTTGCTCAAAAAATTTTAACCTGAATTTAATTTTGCCCTCTAACAGCTATATTCAGCTAACATTATCAACATTATCAAAAGGACTTTGAACTTGACAATGCCACAGACAGGGTATATAAGTGGCAAACAATTTCCAAGAACAGTCTATTTTCCTGACATTCTCTATACTTCAACCTTGCGATTGTCATCTTAAATGATGTGTACAGTATGATTATTGACCGTTAACTAGTTTTAGGGAAGACAAATGCTGTATTTATAGCCAAAACCATGGGATCACACAGTTCTTTAGGGGGTTAGGGGGGAGGGGTAAGTACTCAGGGCACTACTGACTGAAGGCTCTGACCACAGGTGACCCAGGCTCACTGTTTTTGTCACATATGGGTTTCATGGGGCGAAGTTTAGGTCTGGAGATTTGCTAGAAAATGGAAATAAGAATCGATGAAACTTACCATGTGGCAAATTGTTGTTGTCCTCAATATATACATGTACATGAAGTTTCGGCAAAAAATAATCTCCTTCATCATTCCTTTACTATGTAGACCTAAACTTCGCCCCATATGTTCTCTACATTTACTCATGTTATGAAACCCATACTTGAAACAAACAGTGAGCCTGGGTAACCTGTGGTCTGACACCCTGAATTTGCATTTTATAGGACAAAACCAGAGGGGAAAAAAACCTACTGCAATTCCTCTACTTAGCCGCTAGGAGACTAATATTTTTAGTGCCCCTGGACTAAACAAGTCTGCGAAGCACACACGTATCTCCTGTCCTCACTCCTCTCCCTCTAAGGGAGCGAAGCAACAGACGACCGGAAATACATCTGCGCTTCGCGGGAAAGGACTATACTGGCTAGCCTGTGAGATCGTCTGTCTTTTTCTGCTCAAGTTTCTAGTTTCACTTGCTGAGAAAAACCGTTCCTTCTAGGCGGGTGAAACTAGAAACTTGAGCCGAAAAAACCAGATGCTCTCGCAGGCTATATAGTGGCTTATTGAAATGAAAGAATGGTGAGTCAACTATTATTTTAAAGAGGGTTGTGTTAAACAGGTGGCCCAGTAAGAAAACTGTAGGCTATAAATAAAGGAACTACAGTGCCCTGTGTATATAGGACACTGCTGTTTCTTTTCGGGTAAAATAGATACTAAAATAACACGCAAGTGACTTATCATCAAACCTTGAGAGGTATATTATAAATAATGGAACACTTTCCAAGCTCACGACCAAATAAAACTGCGTACCTACCTTTTACAAAAAAGGTGGTAGACCAGGATGCCACTATACTAACACGGGGGACATTCAAAGCCAAGGGATATAATAATGACGACTTGGAAATAAGCTTACAAGAGTTCTGTGGAGGCTCTTGGTCACCTTCAAAAATATGCCCACCTAGTTGCATAAAACCATTGTATCCAAATCCATAACCTTCGAAGTCCCCCTCAGAGTTTATTTTGCGCTTTAGCGAAGCGTTTCCTTCTGTTTCAGTCGTGAAAATGTCTGACTTTTCTTTCCCGCTTTCGACCATTTTGTTTGTGAAGCGTCCTCGCTTCATTCATGCAGGCCTGGCTACAAAGCATATCCATGGAAAATGTAAATGATGACATACGGGCCCGACATACGGTATTTGAACGGTTGATATCTTTTTTTGTTTTGGTGTGAAATTTCCACATGTTGAAAAGGTATTTTTGTCCATTTTTAGCGCATTTGGGATTTCGGTGGCTGGTTTCATCAAGCTAAATGGGATTTGTGTGGTCATCCGCGTTAAATTTAACAGAAGAAGAGTTTAAATATATAGCATGATTTGAATGCTCGGTCAGTTGAATGAAACCTAACGGTTTTACAGAGAAATACAAAGTTGTAAGTGTTTCTACAAAACACGAAAATATGGCTAGCAAAAGAACACTTGTGAAACAAAAGGTGACTTATGGATCCGTGGGAGATGAGAATTTACACGACAGTGACGATGACTTATCTGGAAAAAGATCCATAACAAAGCGCGTGTCGTTTGAAAGTCATGAGCTTAGTGACTCGGATTCTGACGCCGAAAACTCCCTTGGAAGGATAAATCGTCGCACTGCGCGAGCTAGAGATTCCCTTGATGGGTTGTTTAGAGAAACAAGCATAAAAGAAGGGGAAGACCATGCGGGTTTGATCAAAGGAATTTTAGGAGAAAGCCAGTCTTCGACCTCAAAAGACAAAGGTACAGTGTATACAGCATAGAAATTAAGTTTAAGTTAGACACATGCACGAGTCAAGGATGACTGTCCTTGTTATCACCAATTAGAAGTAATAAAAGCTTACACGATTCGCCTTCAGACGGAGGCGGTCTTAATTTGGAAGAAGTAGCTTGGGTAATAATATTTAAATATAGTCATAATAATATAGTTTGTTTAAAAAACAGAGTGATCAAATTCAAACGCAGGGCGCCCACACAAACTGTTTGACCGTTAAAGGAAATGTATTGGAATATAATAAGGTTCACATTATCATGGTATAATGCGATGAATTCTTATTTATATTAAAGATAAAAATATGTCTTTTTACAGTGAAATGTTGTGTATTGTTGTTCGTGCGTTTGAAAATGGCAAATTATAGCAATTTGAAGGGTTTAACATTCTATGTTTACCAGAGAGTATTTGCTGCCTTCAGCCGTGAAAATGACAATACACAACATTTCAAGTTAAAAGACCTTTATTTTAATCTCATATTTAAGAATTCATTTCATTATACCACAACAATATGAACCTTATTATATTCACAAACATTTCCTTTAAGTTCAAACATCAAAACAATCTCCCAGTTTGTGTGGGCCTCCTTGCTGTGAATTCAAATACTGAAATGAGCTTTTTGCTTACATGCACTATCCTTTTACTCCATCTAGGAGAGCCAAAACCTGTTGCCAGATCTCGATCTCGTCCACCAATTTCACCTCGGCGAACTCATTTTGAAGCAAGTCATTCAGTAGCTACATCACAAGTGTCCTCAGATGAAGATAATGTGACTTCTGGAAAATGGCCTGCCAGAGCAAAAGAAAAAAGTCCTGTTGCTCCTCCTAGGACATCACCACGGCAGTTACAAGAAGAGAGCTTGTCATCTGACATGTATTCTTCTCAAGGTGTACCAAAAACAAGGCCTCCCTTGTCATCTAGGAAGGGAGAAATGAAGTCATCTGATGGAGATCACGAATATGATGAATACAAAACAGGAAAGGTTTCTAAGGATGGTCATGAATTTCGATATGATAGGAGTAAAAATGTAGCAGAAAAACCCATGGTTCCCATCAGGAGAAAGAAGACACTCGAAGTAGACTCTGAGGGAGATGTTGAAGTTTATGACACTAAACGAAAGAAAAATTCAAGTGAAGAAAAACCTACAGCCCCTTCAAGGAGAAAAATGACTCTTGAAGAAACACAGGAGAGCTACGTAGAGAAAGACAACAGAGATTATGACTATCAAAGGACTAAAAACATACCAGAAAAACCAATAGCCCCTCAAAGGAGGAAAAAACCTTTTGATGAAACAAGTCAAATACAACATTCTAGACCACAGATTCCCATGATTAAAACTTCAATGTTTGAGGATGACAGCACCTATACAGAAAATGATAGAGCAGCTTTTGACCATGATGGAAATTTAAGAATGCCTAAGAAATTAAATGGTCGACCCATTGTTTCACAAATTAGGGTAGATTCTTCTGAAGAAATTGAGGAAGAAGTGGACTCAGGAAAAGTTTTGTACAGGAAAGAATCATATGGTAGTGAAAATTATGCTAATGATTATGATTTAATACGTGGTAAAGCAGTGGAAAATGTGACTGAAAAGTCTGCAAGTACACCACCAAAGCCATCACCTCGGATTCCTTCAAATGTTAAAAGCTCTACGTCAAGGCAGCCTCAGTTAGAAGAAGAAGTTAAGCAGGCAAAGCGACCAAGAAGTGCACCTGCAATCAAAAAGGCATCCAGTCTTGAAACTCTCTCCTCACAGCAGGATTCAAGGAAGGGATCCTCTGGGATACAAGAACAAGAGGCCCGAAAGGTGCAGTTAAAAAAGAGCCTTACCCCTCAGAGGCCCACTAGTGGAAAGAAAAGCTCTTTGCTGGCTCAGCTGCGGCAAAAGGCTAGAGCTGACATAACAGATACATTTGAGGAACATGTCCCTTCAAAAGAAAATATTTTTGAGACTGGCTCAGGTCATGGTGACTTTTATAGTAGAAGGGGTGATACAGGTAATACTAAGAAGAAGAAATGAAAATTATAGTAAATGTAAAGGAAGATGTGACAGTTGAAATTGTAAATTATTGCATTTACAAAGTTAGTGTTACTGCAGCACTACACAGATGCCATGGGTTTGAATCCCATTAGAGCGTGATTTTTTTTAAAGGTGCCGGGGGGAGGAGGTTGTTTAGGGGGCTGGGGGGGCTTAGTTTGCAATAATTGCAAATTGTAAGTTGTGATTACAACTATAACTGTCATTATCTTCATTTGAATTTGTATTTCTGGAGTTCATGTAATCTTCATTCTGGACTAAATTTGTACAGGAAAGGTTACTTTTAATTAACTTAAATTCATCATCATCATCGATCTTTATTTATACACGAAATCGTATCATTTTACATGGTCTTCCTAGGAATCGTGTTTAAAACTAGACTAAAATCATTAATCATTAATCATTAATAGAGCACATTTCCACACCTACATAAATTTTGGTTAAACTCATCAACAGAGATACACTGTAAGTAAGGGGGGAAGTGCCTTTGAGGCTGGTAGAGCCCTGAATTGTACCTGAGTGTGATGTGTAACCATGATGACCCTGAGAGTGGTATCCACCCAGGCAATTCCAGGTGCTTACTAGTGGAACCTACATGCAACAAACTAAACATACACTTGTGGTACTAGTAAGGGGGGAGGGTAGGGAACAGAAAAACACTTAACAAACTCAAGCCATGACACTGGCAGTGACACACAGACGTAATGGCCCGACCTCAAGAGAAAGGCAGTCAAAAAATAATTATTATAACAAAACAAAGCGAAAAAAACAACAACAACAACAATAAAACATTAGCCCCTGAAAAGCGATTAAGGCACCCCTGCATATCTCTAACAAGAGACTACTGACTAGCCGTGTCTTGAGCGTTCATTTAGTAACATTAACATGTAACAGAAATTTTCATATCATTGATTGCAGTTGATTCTAGAGCCTGGGAAACACCAAAACCTCAAAGGTCAGGACCATTGAAAGCCAACCATGGTATTGATATGATAACCAGATCACAACAGCACAAAGAGCTACAACACACAGACCACACAAAAGGAGGTTCACGCAGAGGGTCTGTTATACCAAAGAGATCTTCTTCCATGACAAATTTGAGGGACACCAGCCCTGAACCATGGGGTGGAGACAGTGCAAGAAGCTCACAGTATGGCGAATTAATGGACACTGCATCAATACGCCAGGCAGTGTTTTATAAGTGGCAGAGAAGAAAAAGTGCAAAGCTGAAGGAACATATGGTTAGCAGGTCTTCTGAGAAAAAGAAGCAAGAAGAAAAGGAAAAGGAAGAACGTGAGCGGAAAAAACTGGTAAAGTTCTTAGCCTTTAGCTGTTAAAAGACCTTTATTTTAATCTCATATTTAAGAATTCATTTCATTATACCACAACAATATGAACCTTATTATATTCACAAACATTTCCTTTAAGTTCAAACATCAAAACAATCTCCCAGTTTGTGTGGGCCTCCTTGCTGTGAATTCAAATACTGAAATGAGCTTTTTGCTTACATGCACTATCCTTTTACTCCATCTAGGAGAGCCAAAACCTGTTGCCAGATCTCGATCTCGTCCACCAATTTCACCTCGGCGAACTCATTTTGAAGCAAGTCATTCAGTAGCTACATCACAAGTGTCCTCAGATGAAGATAATGTGACTTCTGGAAAATGGCCTGCCAGAGCAAAAGAAAAAAGTCCTGTTGCTCCTCCTAGGACATCACCACGGCAGTTACAAGAAGAGAGCTTGTCATCTGACATGTATTCTTCTCAAGGTGTACCAAAAACAAGGCCTCCCTTGTCATCTAGGAAGGGAGAAATGAAGTCATCTGATGGAGATCACGAATATGATGAATACAAAACAGGAAAGGTTTCTAAGGATGATCATGAATTTCGATATGATAGGAGTAAAAATGTAGCAGAAAAACCCATGGTTCCCATCAGGAGAAAGAAGACAATCGAAGTAGACTCTGAGGGAGATGTTGAAGTTTATGACACTGAACGAAAGAAAAATTTAAGTGAAGAAAAACCGACAGCTCCTTCAAGGAGGAAAATGACTCTTGAAGAAACACAGGAGAGCTACGTAGTGGAAGACAACAGAGATTATGACTATCAAAGGACTAAAAACATACCAGAAAAACCAAAAGCCCCTCAAAGGAGGAAAAAACCTTTCGATGAAACAAGTGAAATACAATATTCTAGACCACAGATTCCCATGATTAAAACTTCAACGTTTGAGGATGAAAGCCCCTATACAGAAAATGAT